TTAGAGGTTATACATTTTTCCCCAACGTTGCTTTTTGTGAATCTTGAAACTGAAAATAAATCTCTGAGATTTCACTTTACTCTCGTTCTACCTGCATGTTTAATAAATAAGGAAAACCAACAAGGAGCATCTATTATAGAACAATAAGCTAATTCTTCTTGAAACCATTTTAGTTTGGTAATTAAAGTAGTCTAAGAAATACAACTCAATATTAATATGTTTGTAAAGTAAGAGTTAATTTGCATATTGTTAAAATGAAATTGAAAACATAGCACACACACACACACACACACACACACACACACACACACCACACACACATCTGCACACACACACACATCTGCACACACACACCACACACACATCTGCAGACACACACACATCTGCACACACACACACACACACACACCACACACACACACACACACACACACACACACACACACACATCTGCAGACACACACACATCTGCACACACACACCACACACACATCTGCAGACACACACACATCTGCACACACACACACACACACACACACACACATCTGCAGACACACATGAGGAAATGTGAGTGTAATAGTGTGTAACTTTAAATCAGGACGCATGTAATCAATCTATTTTACTTCATTTATTAAAACTGAATTTGCCAAATTGGGTTATTTTAACTGGGACATTAGTATTTTTCCAAATCACTAATTTAGAACTAATATGTAATAATTAATTACAATGATATTTAGTGATTAGGGACTTCGTTTAATTATTAGAAGTCATGTATAATTGGAATAAAACTCGCTGTAAGATATGAAAAAAATGACTTTATTGTATGAATAATTCTGCGGATCCAAAACTGAACCTTAACGAGGGACAGATTACGCAGAAGCACTCGTTAATAACTCCAATCAGTGATGTCACTTCCTGTGGCTGGGACGTCCTGTTTGTGTTTACAGCAGCCGTCGTCATAGATACACGAAACACAACGCTGACGTTTCTACCTGATTATTTGACTTCATTATTTCTCCAACCTCAGGAAGGGTTAGCTCAATAAATAAAGCGAAGCGGCGTGATTACCTTCTGTTGGCGAGAGATAATATTTACCTCATTTCCTAACGTTTGAATATGTGCGTCTCTCTTTCCTCTCTCCTCAGCCATTGGAAGCAGTGGCTTCAGCCCAAGACAAACTCACCAGTTCTCTCCGCAGATTTACCCCTCCAAGTAAGGCTTCTTCGACTCTCTTTAAGAAAACAAGCAGCGTCCGACTTCATTCGGATCTTTAATTAGATCCTTCTGCTGATCTGGGGGGGGGCTTTGTTTGTCTGGATGTCTGCAGCTTCTCTCAAATCTGTTGTAATTAATATCTAGTGCCATTTATTGTTCTTTAAACCTGAGCTGAGCGATGCAATCTGTGCTGAAAATGAAGTAGCACAATCAGGGGGGAATGTGTCGGCTCGCAGTTTGGGGTTTTCTGACTTTAACGTGTTTGTGTTTCTTTTTCTCAAATAGCAGAACATATCCGCATATTCTTCCCACCCCTTCATCCCAAAATATGGCAGCTTACGGGCAGACGCAGTACACCACAGGAATGCAGCAGGCCGCGGCGTATGCTAGCTATCCTCAGCCCGGACAGCCTTATGGCATCCCTGCTTATGGTAAGAAACACACATCCTTTCCTCGAGGAGAAGTTCAGATACTCGTGTTTAAAATACTCTGGTGAAAGTAGAAGTACTGATTAAACTTCTTTACTCAAGTAGAAGTAAAGAGGCTTTGAAATGTACTTCAGTAGAAAGTACCCATAACTAGCAGCTGCTTTAAAGAGTACCTGACCTCCCTTTATATTAATAGAACAATAATGTAATTGTTAGCTAATGAATGTTTCCATGCTGAACAACGGCAACATGACAACGTTTCCATTGGTCCCTCTTCTTTAGAGAAGACCAGGAAATGATGGATACACGGATCGTGTTCAAATCAATAGGCACGCAATGACTCTAAAGAATAATGATCACGCATCAAACACACATTCAGACTAAAGGAACCAGCTGTTTGGGAAATGAGAGAAGTAGAAAGTACAAGTATTTGAGTTCAACATGTGAGAAGTAGAAAGTACAGGTATTTGGGTTCAACATGTAGGAAGTAGAAAGTACAGGTATTTGAGTTCAACATGTAAGAAGTAGAAAGTACAGGTATTTGAGTTCAACATGTAAGAAGTAGAAAGTACAGGTATTTGAGTTCAACATGTAAGAAGTAGAAAGTACAGGTATTTGAGTTCAACATGTAAGAAGTAGAAAGTACAGGTATTTGAGTTCAACATGTAAGAAGTAGAAAGTACAGGTATTTGGGTTCAACATGTAAGAAGTAGAAAGTACAGGTATTTGAGTTCAACATGTTAGAAGTAGAAAGTACAGGTATTTGGGTTCAACATGTAGGAAGTAGAAAGTACAGGTATTTGAGTTCAACATGTAAGAAGTAGAAAGTACAGGTATTTGAGTTCAACATGTAAGAAGTAGAAAGTACAGGTATTTGAGTTCAACATGTAAGAAGTAAAAAGTACAGGTATTTGAGTTCAACATGAGAGAAGTAGAAAGTACAGGTATTTGAGTTCAACATGTAAGAAGTAGAAAGTACAGGTATTTGTGTTCAAACATGGAAGAAGTAGAAAGTACAGGTATTTGAGTTCAACATGTAAGAAGTAGAAAGTACAGGTATTTGAGTTCAACATGTAAGAAGTAGAAAGTACAGGTATTTGAGTTCAACATGTAAGAAGTAGAAAGTACAGGTATTTGGGTTCAACATGTAAGAAGTAGAAAGTACAGGTATTTGAGTTCAACATGTAAGAAGTAGAAAGTACAGGTATTTGAGTTCAACATGTAAGAAGTAGAAAGTACAGGTATTTGAGTTCAACATGTAAGAAGTAGAAAGTACAGGTATTTGAGTTCAACATGTAAGAAGTAGAAAGTACAGGTATTTGAGTTCACATGTAAGAAGTAGAAAGTTCAGGTATTTGGGTTCAACATGTAAGAAGTAGAAAGTACAGGTATTTGGTGTTCAACATGTAAGAAGTCGAAAGTACAGGTATTTGAGTTCAACATGTAAGAAGTAGAAAGTACAGGTATTTGGGTTCAACATGTAAGAAGTAGAAAGTACAGGTATTTGAGTTCAACATGTAAGAAGTAGAAAGTACAGGTATTTGGGTTCAACATGTAAGAAGTAGAACGTACAGGTATTTGAGTTCAACATTGTAAGAAGTAGAAAGTACAGGTATTTGATGTTCAACATGTGAGAAGTAGAAAGTACAGGTATTTGAGTTCAACATGTAAGAAGTAGAAAGTACAGGTATTTGTGTTCAACATGTGAAGAAGTAGAAAGTACAGGTATTTGTGTTCAACATGATGAGAAGTAGAAAGTACAGGTATTGTGGTTCAACATGTAGAGAGTATAGAAAGTACAGGTATTTGTGTTCAACATGTAAGAAGTAGATAAGTACATGTCATTTGTGTTCAACATGTAAGAAGATTTTATGGGTTCAACAACATGTAAGAAGAGAAGTACAGGTATTTGAGTTCAACATGAGAGAAGTAGAAAGTACAGGTATTTGAGTTCAACATGTAAGAAGTAGAAAGTACAGGTATTTGAATTCAACATGTAAGAAGTAGAAAGTACAGGTATTTGAGTTCAACATGTAAGAAGTAGAAAGTACAGGTATTTGAGTTCAACATGTAAGAAGTAGAAAGTACAGGTATTTGAGTTCAACATGTAAGAAGTAGAAAGTACAGGTATTTGGGTTCAACATGTAAGAAGTAGAAAGTACAGGTATTTGTGTTCAACATGTAAGAAGTAGAAAGTACATGTATTGGGTTCAACATGTAAGAAGTAGAAAAGTACAGGTATTTGGGTTCAACATGTAAGAAGTAGAAAGTACAGGTATTTGAGTTCAACATGTAAGAAGTAGAAAGTACAGGTATTTGAGTTCAACATGTAAGAAGTAGAAAGTACAGGTATTTGAGTTCAACATGTAAGAAGTAGAAAGTACAGGTATTTGAGTTCAACATGTAAGAAGTAGAAAGTACAGGTATTTGAGTTCAACATGTGAGAAGTAGAAAGTACAGGTATTTGTGTTCAACATGTAAGAAGTAGAAAGTACAGGTATTTGAGTTCAAACATGTGAGAAGTAGAAAGTACAGGTATTTGTGTTCAACATGTAAGAAGTAGAAAGTACAGGTATTTGAGTTCAACATGTGAAGAAGTAGAAAGTACAGGTATTTGTGTTCAACATGTAAGAAGTAGAAAGTACAGGTATTTGAGTTCAACATGTAAGAAGTAGAAAGTACAGGTTTTTGAGTTCAACATGTAAGAAGTAGAAAGTACAGGTATTTGAGTTCAACATGTGAGAAGTAGAAAGTACAGGTATTTGTGTTCAACATGAGAGAAGTAGAAAGTACAGGTATTTGTGTTCAACATGTAAGAAGTAGAAAGTACAGGTATTTGTGTTCAACATGAGAGAAGTAGAAAGTACAGGTATTTGTGTTCAACATGTAAGAAGTAGAAAGTACAGGTATTTGGGTTCAACATGTAAGAAGTAGAAAGTACAGGTATTTGAGTTCAACATGAGAGAAGTAGAAAGTACAGGTATTTGAGTTCAACATGTAAGAAGTAGAAAGTACAGGTATTTGAGTTCAACATGTAAGAAGTAGAAAGTACAGGTATTTGTGTTCAACATGTGAGAAGTAGAAAGTACAGGTATTTGAGTTCAACATGTAAGAAGTAGAAAGTACAGGTATTTGTGTTCAACATATAAGAAGTAGAAAGTACAGGTATTTGAGTTCAACATGTAAGAAGTAGAAAGTACAGGTATTTGTGTTCAACATGTAAGAAGTAGAAAGTACAGGTATTTGAGTTCAACATGTAAGAAGTAGAAAGTACAGGTATTTGTGTTCAACATGTAAGAAGTAGAAAGTACAGGTATTTGGGTTCAACATGTAAGAAGTAGAAAGTACAGGTATTTGGGTTCAACATGTAAGAAGTAGAAAGTACAGGTATTTGTGTTCAACATGTAAGAAGTAGAAAGTACAGGTATTTGTGTTCAACATGTGAGAAGTAGAAAGTACAGGTATTTGTGTTCAACATGTAAGAAGTAGAAAGTACAGGTATTTGTGTTCAACATGTAAGAAGTAGAAAGTACAGGTATTTGAGTTCAACATGTAAGAAGTAGAAAGTACAGGTATTTGTGTTCAACATGTGAGAAGTAGAAAGTACAGGTATTTGTGTTCAACATGTAAGAAGTAGAAAGTACAGGTATTTGTGTTCAACATGTGAGAAGTAGAAAGTACAGGTATTTGTGTTCAACATGTGAGAAGTAGAAAGTACAGGTATTTGAGTTCAACATGTAAGAAGTAGAAAGTACAGGTATTTGTGTTCAACATGTGAGAAGTAGAAAGTACAGGTATTTGGGTTCAACATGTAAGAAGTAGAAAGTACAGGTATTTGTGTTCAACATGTGAGAAGTAGAAAGTACAGGTATTTGTGTTCAACATGTAAGAAGTAGAAAGTACAGGTATTTGGGTTCAACATGTAAGAAGTAGAAAGTACAGGTATTTGAGTTCAACATGTAAGAAGTAGAAAGTACAGGTATCTGGGTTCAACATGTAAGAAGTAGAAAGTACAGGTATTAGTGTTCAACATGTAAGAAGTAGAAAGTACAGGTATTTGTGTTCAACATGTGAGAAGTAGAAAGTACAGGTATTTGAGTTCAACATGTAAGAAGTAGAAAGTACAGGTATTTGTGTTCAACATGTGAGAAGTAGAAAGTACAGGTATTTGAGTTCAACATGTAAGAAGTAGAAAGTACAGGTATTTGAGTTCAACATGTAAGAAGTAGAAAGTACAGGTATTTGTGTTCAACATGTAAGAAGTAGAAAGTACAGGTATTTGAGTTCAACATGTAAGAAGTAGAAAGTACAGGTATTTGAGTTCAACATGTAAGAAGTAGAAAGTACAGGTGTTTGTGTTCAACATGTAAGAAGTAGAAAGTACAGGTATTTGAGTTCAACATGTAAGAAGTAGAAAGTACAGGTATTTGAGTTCAACATGTAAGAAGTAGAAAGTAAAAAGTCGTCAGAAAAATAAGTAGTGGAGTAAAGTACTGATACCAGAAAAATGTACTTAAGTGCAGTAACAAAGTATTTATACTCCACTTTTAATTTCTCCCAAACCTCCTCTACATCTAGATATCTCTGAAGGACTTCCTTCAGAGCTGCTGAGGTTTTGTTTAGGCCCTGCATGTTCTCGAATAAAACAGAATCTGCTTGTCAAGCTCTTCTTCTCGTAGATTCTAGATAGAAATCTGCAAACAAAACATCTTCCCCTGGCAGAGTGAACGCAGAGTACACGGCTCTCTGCGGGCTTTATTTGTCCAAAGTCTTTGCAGTGTTTTGACCCCGAAAGACTCTCCAATATGTGCAGGAATTCACGGTGTTTATTTGAGCGGAGTCCGAACTGCATCGTGACTGATTGAATGTAAGCAGAGGTTGGTTCCCCCCACAAACACACGCAGTATGTTTCATTACTGCTGCATCTTCTCACACCTGCAGTACATGATCTAATACTAGATATATCAAACAACCACAGTCACCCGCTGTTTGGTTTAGCAATGAGACAGAAAGACACTTCCAAACAAGCGGAGACATCAGATCATCTGTGAGTAAAGTTATTGCATAATATAACTTCAAGTAGGGAAAGTACTTAATATGCATAATATCTCTCTTCATCTGAGGTTTTAGGATCTCAAGTACTACACTTAAGTAAGATTTGCGTTTCTTGTATTTTCTTTTTTATGCTGTTACGTATCTGGTGAACAAGACATCAATAAAGTTTCATCTTTTTATCCTATAACAATACACAATGATATTGTTTGTACTCAGTCTACAATATTTTCCTTTGAATTTAAGTGTAATATATGTATAAAGTATAGAAAGGAAATACAAGTACTTAAAATTGTTCTTGGGTTTAGTATCAGTTCAAATGAAGGGTCTTTGAGCGATTGTGTTGTTATGTTCAATGTTGTTTGTTTGTCATGTCTTGATATAGTGACTTTGTGTATTTTGGATTAAGTGTGCAACTCTTAAGATAAGAACGGTCTATCTATAATAATGTCTAATCCACTGGTTTCGGTGCAGAGACTTTGGGTATTTCAAGTTAAGTGTGCAACTCTTTGCGTTGAATGAGTGCTCTTATTCTTACAGCTAATTATAATAATATATATTTTGTATTTGACCGTTCAATTCAGGATTGTTCTCCTTTAGTGTGCTCTACCCATAAGTTAAATAGGCACAAGAATAACAGTTTTAACACCAGAGAGGGCCTTGCTTTTCCGTGAGATAAAATACGATGTTTGCGTTGAATGAAGTGACTGATCTGACCTTTAAAGTATTATCGTATCTTCTCGTATGGTATAAGCTAACAGACCAGCTGTGTGTTGACTGTTGTTGTGCATGAAACCGATGAGGTGTCACTAACATGTTGAGGACCCTTGTTTGCAGGCATAAAGACAGAGGGGGGTCTGAGTCAGTCTCAGTCTCCAGGACAGACGGGGTTCCTGGGGTACAGCTCGGGGTTCACCACGCCGCAGACCGGACAGGCGCCGTACAGCTACCAGATGCAGGGTGAGGACACATTCTGCATTTCTCTACGTGCTTTCTCACTGTGGACGAAAGCATGGTGTCAAAATGCAACGTTCAAGGCCTCAACATGTCAGAAAAGGCTGTTTCTTTCTCTGAAACATGGGGATTTCCTGGCTTTTCAATACGTTTGGACATTTAGAGACACAACTTAGGACTTTGACAATCTAGGATGGACATGTTCCACTTGTATCTGATCTTGTATAGACCAAAAACATCTTTAGATAACTGGGTATTAATGCATTGTGTCTGATTCCTTATTTCTCTCTGTGCATATTCACTGTGGACGAATGCTTGGTGTCAAAATGCAACGTTCAAGGCCTCAACATGTCAGAAAAGGCTGTTTCTTTCTCTGAAACATGGGGAGTTCCTGGTTTGCTCCATTTGTAATCATTAATCATCATAATAGTCAATATCTTTGGACATTTATTTTCACAACTTAGGACTTTGACAATCTAGGATGGACGTGTTCCACTTGTATCTGATCTGTTATCGACCAAACACATCTTGAGACACACTGCTTATTTCTCTCTGTGCTGTGGACGGTCGCATGGTGTCAAAGTGCTGTTTCCAAACCCTGAAACATGGGGAGTTCCTGGTGTTCTCAGTTTTAAATCATATCAAGTCAATATCTTTAGACATTTAGAGACTTTCCTTGGATTTTCTGACATGTTATAGAGTTTCCACCCTTTTGAGATGTGTTTTTGTCCAATCGTACAGTTGTATCATGTGTACAGCGAACATTGGGGAACGGCATCATGACAGGTTTAACACAAAGCAGATTTTGTCTAGATTCTCCAAAAACATCCATCTGAATCCTTAGTCCTCTCTGTGCATCTTCCCTTTGGATGTATGGTATCAAGAAGCAGTGTGAGATGTGAAAGCTGCAAAGATTAGAGTGTATATCTTTGGACATGTATAGACATAACTTAGGACTTTGATCATCTTGTAATGTTGTCTCATTTCCATTTCTCCTCTGCTTAGCCCATCCAAATAAGGTTTATTGTTCTCTTTCTCCAAAACATGAGTGTAAAGCGCTCTGTCTCTGATTTAGTAGCATGCGCAGCCCTCTCACTCACCCCCAAAACATGGCTTTGGTCGTTATGTCAGCCTCCCTCCTTTCTCCGCTTAAATAAATCAACACAGAGAGAAAAATGTCCGGCACTCAGCAGCCATGTCCTCCTCTCCGTCTGTCTTTGTTTTCCTCTCCCTGTGATCATATTAGTATTTGTTTAAGAGCTGAGAGCGCTGTGACTTATGGCCTCGAGAGCGATTCAGACGAGTTTTGCCTTCTCCTTAAAGGCAGTGCAGTGTTTCTACTCTAGAGTCTTTCTCCCGTAGTAAAGTGTGATTCCTCTTCATGTTGTTGAGAGTGTCTCCCAGTAAATACCTGCAACTCAGCAGCAGATGTGTTGCACAGCGAAGCCTCTTTTCCACGCCTCTTATCCAAATACAGTCTGAGTGTAGGGCATGGAGAGGGAGAGGAGAGGGAGAGGAGAGGGAGAGAGAGGAGAGGGGAGGAGAGGGAGAGGAGAGAGGGAGGAGAGAGAAGGGAAGATGAGAGGGAGAAGAGAGGAGAGGAGAGAATAGGCGAGGAGAGTGAGGAGAAGGGAGAGGGAGAGGGAGAAGAGGGAGAGAGAAGAGGAGGGAGAAGAGAGAGGATAGAGGAGAAGAGCGAGGGAACGAGGGGAGGAGAGGGAGAGGAGAGAGGCGAGGGAGGAGAGAAGAGAGGGAAGAGGAACGAGGAAGAGGAGAGGGAAGAGGAGAGGAGAGAGGGAGGAGAGGGAGAGGACTAGACGGGAGAGGGGAGAAGAGAGGGAGACGGAGAGGAAGAGAAGAGGAAGAGGGAGGGAGAGGGAGAGGGAGAGGGAGAGGAGAGGTGCGAGGAGAGGAATGAGGGAGAGGAGAGGGAAGAGGATAGAGTGAGACGGAAGGAGGGAGAGGACGAGAGGATGAGGGAGAGCGAGAGGAGGAGGGAGAGAGCGGGCAGAGGATGAGAGGAGAAGAGAGGGAGACGGAGAGGAAGAGAAGAGGGAAGAGGAGAGGGAAGAGGAAGAGGGAGAGGAAGAGGAGAGGAAGAGGGAGAGGAAGAGGGAGAGGGAGAGGGAGAGAACGATGGAGAGGAGAGGAGAGGGAGAGGAGAGGGAGAGGAGAGGGAGAGGGAGAGGGAGAGGGAGAGGGAGAGGAGAGGAGAGGAAGAGAAGAGGAAGAGGAGAGGAAGAGGAGAGAAGAGGAGAGGAGAGGGAGAGGAGAGGAAGAGGAGAGGGAGAGGAAGAGGGAGAGGAAGAGGGAGAGGAAGAGGAAGAGGAAGAGAAGAGGAGAGGAGAGGAAGAGGAGAGGGAGAAAGTATGGTGTTTAAGCTGCAGTGGTTAAACTCACGATGACAGTATTATGTGCTCATTCATCTCCAACATTACGCTCCGTCAGTCTGTGGCTGCAATTAACACTTTAGATTAAGGTGCACATATTCACCATCAACTAGTTGTTAACTAACATGCGTATTAGAGCCAAACTACCAGCTTATTAGTGAACATATTCTGAGTTAGAAATACCTGATTTTAAGTTATTTTGACACAGTTAACACTTGTAGTTTCATGTCTTGTCTTGATCACATTTGTGTCATTATGGGAGACTGTTCTTGTGGCGCTGCGGCTGCATATTAAGCATATTAAGCCCCACTCATGTACAACAACTTCCTTACGTACAATAAACAAGCACTCATTAGAGGGTTGTTGAGGGAAAATGTTGAACTATCAGTACTTGTAGAATAAGGCATTAATAAGTGTTTTATAGGCACTGAGAAGCCTCTTTTCCACGCCTCCAAACACAGTCTGAGTGCAGGGCATGCAGACGGAGAGGAAGAGGAAGAGGAAGAGGAGAAAGTATGGCAGAGTGTTTAAGCTGCAGTGGTTAAACTCACGATGACAGTATTATGTGCTCATTCATCTGCAACATTACGCTCCGTCTGTCTGGCTGTAACTGGCAGGCCTGCGTGGGAAATGACAGATTGAGCACTATGAGTCTCTAACTGAGCGTCAGCAGAACTATTGATCTCCTGTCTGTGATCCTGAGAGGCTTTCTGTGTCCAGCTGTCATGACATTCGTGTGTTTTGCTCCCAGCTTTCATGTTTCACCGGGACATGGAGCGCTGTGGGGGGGCTGAGGTCGTGCCACCAAGGCGAAAAGCAGGGTGGCATTTCATGCATATTAGGAAGGAAGCTTTAAGGAAGTTATAACCTCACGTAGAAGTAGTATTCTGGTGCAAGCAGAAGTCCTGCATGTCATATATCACTTCTCCTAAGTCAAAGAAATATAGTTGTTGCATAAATATAACTTAAAAGTACTTAATATTAAAAAAAAGAAAAGTACTTAATATTATTTAACTTTAACTATATATTTATTTGTTGTTCCTTTATTTTATTTTATCTTCACTATATCTGTAAAGCGTCTTTGAGCACCTGTAAAAGCGCTAACAAATTAAATCTATTATTATATTATTAATATGCATCTGAGGCTTTAGGATCATTCACTCAAGTACACTTAAGTAAGATTTAAGGTTCTTGTGTTTAATTGTTCTGTTAGCATTTGAAAATACACAATGATCCTAACCTCACGTAGAAATTCTCATAACACAGTTTACTCTGGTGAAGCAGAAGTCCTGCATGTCAGATATCACTTCTCCTAAGTCAAAGAAATAGAGTTTTCGCATAAATATAACTTACATAGTATCCTACTTTAGTAAGATTTGAGCTACTTGTATTTCCCTTTTCCTGTTACTTGAGCAAAGTAAAAAAGTATTAGCATTCAAATATACCTAAAGTACAAAGTTAGAAGTACTCATTCTGCAGATTGGCCCGTTTCAGAATAATATAAGCTATAATATGAGATGATAATTCATTGATGCATTCAAGTGTTCACCACTTTTATGCATTAGCTTGGAAAGGAGGAACCTTTTTTATCTTTCTATACCGCTAAGTAACCGGGGAATTCGACCAAGACATCAATAAAGTGTTATCTTTTTACCCTACAACAATACATTTACCTCAATCGACACTATTTGCCTTTGAATTCAAGTGTAGTAGATGTATAAAGTAGCATACAAATGAAATACAAGTACTTAAAGTTGTGCTTAAGTGCAGTACTACGGATCCAAAAGCCGTATTTTCTAACTCTAAATGAGACGAGTTGACTTGTACATGTCACCAAGAGATCAATAACACTAGTCGATATAAATAATAATGAAATGAAACAAGAGAATTATGATACTGCACAAACTTAAGCTGATAAACACAAATATTATTGACTTACAGATGATATATAAACAAATGATCTTCCTAACTACACATCTGAAGAGACTGAAAAGCAGAGCCCCATCTGGACCTGATAGCCTTTCCCCAAGTGGGGCATACTGACTTCTGCTTCAAATATTGAGCTCTGATGATAGACATAGCCCATGGCGAGGGGGGGGGGGGGAGCAAAGGGACTTCCAATTGTGGAGCCAGAAGGCAAAGAGGAGGAGGGGAGTGTCTGAGGGAGGGGGAGGGAGAGAAAACATGCAAACCCCCTTTTCTCTCTCCCCCTTCTGCTATAATACAAGTAATAATAATGCGTTTATGTAGTGTAGCTCAGGGGGGTCCAAACGTGTTTAGCCGAGGGCCACGTACAAGGCACTAGAGGTGTATTACCTTATCAGTTAAGTCAACAAAAGCAATCAAATGTAGGTAAATTATTCTTGATACTTGAAAAGGCTTTAAGAAATAAACTCAACGCAAGAATCCTGCAGGAACTTTTCCTTTCTATGAGCTGATTGAAGCTCACTTAAATCTGCTCCGTGTAGAGCTGCAGAACCAGTGAGTGAAATACGGAGGTTTCTCTAGTTTCCAGACGCCAGTGAGATTGGGGACTTTTGAAAGTAAAGTCACGTTTTATTTAGCTGACGCTTCTCTGCAATAATCCTGCAGGAACACATAGGCCCTATACGTGCAATAGCTTCACTTAAATCTGCTCTCGTTGTGTAACACGGAGTGAACTACGGAGGTTTCTCTACTTCTGGACACTCTTTTCCCTCAGCACAAACACTGAGTAGACGCCGGTGATATCGGGCCCTATTGAAAGTAAAATGACGTTTTCCTTTAGGAACATTTGCTATCTATAGGCCCTATAAGTGCTACTCCAATAGCTTCACTTAAAGTGGACCTATCATGCTATATTTGAAACATTGTACCATACCTATAAAACATGTCTGTGAAGTTTCTTTTTCAAAATACCAAACAGATCCTGCATTTTAGCCTCATTTCGCTCTATTTGCTCTATTCCAGCCCTGTTTCTGTAAGGGCTGATTCTGCTTTTGTGGCAGGTTACAGCGCCACCTACAGGCCTGGCATATGTACTACAGCGTCTCCAGCGCTTTCGAGCGGTCTCTCATTCCCCTGATAGGTGGAGAGTTGCCCATATAGGCGGGGCACCCCGTTTCTGACGTCAGAAACATTCAAATAATAATCAGATCCGTTGCAGCCCCGATTTTAGAGATTTGGGTTCGGAGGAAAAGAGAGAGGGTTGTGTTTTCTGACTCCTGGTGAGTTCCCTGACACCTGGTGAGTTCCCTGACACCTGGTGAGTTCCGTGACGCACCGGGGACACATGTTCATAAAAGACGTACAAAGGTGCATTTTGCATGATAGGTCCTCTTTAAATCTGCTCTCTTTGTGTAAAACTGCACAAACACTGAGTGAACTACTGAGCTTTCTCTAGTTTCTAGTAGGGATGGGAATTTGAAAGCAAATGTATATTCGAATATTCCACCCCCAAAAAAACGGTTAACCGATTAACCGAAATGTACATATCCTATAAAAAAATACATGTTGAAATAAGTATAGCAACCAAGTCGAATTTGTCAAATGTATTGAACTGGTGATCACAGTTTGAACAGTTGACAGCTATAGACCTACAGCCTTCATGCTTAAAACATAACTTGGTTTTCTGATGGATTTGGACATAAACGCGAGTGAAGTCTAACCGGACGCGAGAGAGAGAGAGAGAGAGAGAGAGAGAGAGAGAGAGAGAGAGAGAGAGAGAGAGAGAGAGAGAGATCAGCTCCTGCAGCTCTGCCCGCTGTGAGGGGCCGGTGAGCGGAGCAAAACACACCTTTAGACCTAACACACTCAGCTACGGCACTGTCGTATACATTGAATTATTCCATTTGATCATATGTAATCAACTTAGGCACCCCCCCAACCCACTAGACGCCAGTGATATTGGGGACTTTGTTGGTTTCTCTCAAAGCAAGAATCCAGCTATGAGCCCTTTAAGTGCAATAGTTCAAACTGCAGAACCACTGAGTGAACTACGGAGGTTTCTCTAGTGTCGCCTCTCTTCTGCCTCTGCACGAAACACCGAGTAGACGTCGGTGATATCGGGCGCCTTTTTGGCCGCTAAGTCTTCTGCTGTTCCTGCTTTCCTCCACCCTTCATGCCCCCTCCTCTTCCCCCTGCGCTCCGAGAGCTGCTTCACATTTGTCACGCTGTGGGAGGCCCTCCTGATGACCGGAGGATGAAAGGTGTAATTACGCCTCCGTTTAGAAACACTGCATTTATCTCCGGCTACGGGAGCAAGGGGAGTGATCTGTCTCTGAGTGGACAGAGCGAAAGAGAGGAGTTGTTGACTTTGGAAGACCGGTTGTGACATTTTGATGCATTTTGGGACGATTTAAAAACCTCTATTACAACCACAACATTTGCACAAAGCTGTTACTTGTTATAGTTTTATATATGTGGGTATTTGTCATGTCCTTAGCGTGCAGAATGATGCACACAGCTGCAGACATACTCCAGAGTGTTGGCCTTCACTTGAGAGGATGCATTATTTATACTTTGCATGGAGAGCGCTTAATCTAACGCATCGAATCAAGCGCTCCCTGCTGATCAATCTCTGAGCACTTTGTGATTAAACGCTTGTTATCAATGTATTAACGGCTGCAGAAAGGACAAGTTCAACTCAAAAATAAACCTGCTTACATTTTATTTTAAGGGATAATTAAGTGTTATCATACAATGTTTGTCCAGTCCAAGATTTAATATTTAAAATGCTTTTTTAGGGCTTGTAAACAACTTAAATACAAACAACCATGTCAAAATGAATGACAGTTTATTTGGACGTAAATAAATAGAAATAATTGTTATTATTTCTGACACTAAGATTTTTGAATGCAATCTTTTACGATGGTTTTATTTTGTCAAATTAAAACGTTTTAATGCAATAGAAATCTATCAGATATTCAAAATGAATGACAGTTTATTTGGACTTAAATATATAGATTTATTTTTACTCTTTTTGACGATAACATTTTTGAATGCGATTTTTTTAGATGAAAAGATTTTATTTTGTAAAAATAATTTAGTGCAATAGAAATATATCACATAAAATGATTTATGCAAAATAAATGTATTTCATTTAAAGTCACCTTTAAACCCCAGCAGTCTGTGAGCTCCTCTTAAATAATAATAACATTACATTTAATTGATATAGTGCTTTTCCTAGTGCTCAAAGACGCTTTACGTAACATCAGAAACAGAAGTCCTATCATCTCATTTAAGACGAGATAAACCTTTATTTATTCCTCCTTCCCCCCATTATAACTCATGTCATGTATATTATTAACCCATTAGATGCTATCAGTCCCTTTTGAATGATTTCATTACCCAGAAGCACCTTGGGGAAGTGAAGAGAGGAGCATACATATGCATGGGGATCTGCTCAGTGACTGCGACACACACACACACACACACACACAAAAGTCTCATGTCTTCCTCCCATTGAGCTGTCATTCATCAGCTCTGATCCAATCAGTGATAAGCAGAAGAGATAGGATCATCTCCCTCAGGCTGTTCATCACCTCTGAGAGAGAGACGATAACAATGCGCCATTTCAGTTTTGTTGGATCAAATACAGTCAATGCAAATTTAGGGATGCAAAAATGTATTATTTGCATTTTCAGTTTGTCTGCCGGGGATTCTTGGTCTTTAAAATGTTAGAAAATAGTGAAAAATGTCCGCCTGAGTCTCTTAAAGTGCAAGGTTTGTCTGTGATGTTTGCTTTTTGGACCAAAACCAGAATATATGTGCCTTAAAATAATACGAATGAATTCTCCATTCGAGAGGCTTTTTTGTGAGAAATTGCTTTAATGATTATAACTCCATTGTCCAATTGATTATTTTCTTATCAATTTATGTTTTGTCTTTGAAAAACCCAAACATATTGATTACTACATGACTATTAAAGGATATCTTCTTATTTGAGAGGCTGAAAATGTCATTTAAACGCATTTCTTGCATGAAAGAAAATTACTTTAAATAGTAACAAATAGGAGGTTATTTGTCTGTACATGCAATGTAATTGTTGGGTCTTTAAAACATCAGAAAATTGTGAAAAAAGGTCAATAACCACATTTTTCCAAACCTATTTCTTGTTGTGTTTGCCTAAAACTCACAAATATTCACTTTTATATGAATTAAAATAAAGAAAAGCCGGATATTTCAATATTTGTGAGGCAAAAAACAAAAAAATGTTGCTACTTTTTGCTTGAAAAATGTCTTTATCGAACTGTAAATTACCCCAAAAAGTCTCTTAAAGTCTTCTGTTGATGCACTTATCTTTGCAGCTGCACATAAATAACTCTAAGGTGTTATTTTCCCTTTAAGGTGGCACCTTCACAACCACGTCCGGCTTGTACCCCGGAAACAACTCTCTGACGAACTCGAGCGGCTTCAACAGCACACAACAGGTAGCTCTATCCTCTGTCCTCTGATCTGGAGTCAGTTTATCCTCGAAGCCTTTTATGGAACATGCATACTCAATATGTTACATTTCATCCATGACACATTCAAACATAAATCAGTGGGGATGTCAGGATTATCCTCGCGATGCCACGGAGGAACAGATGGACGGCATGTGTTTATGTTTTGGAAGCTGTAAAGTAGCAGCTCTGTTTGAGGGCAAATCTCACGTTACCCTGAGTCTCTCACCATGCTTTCCTTCATCTTATTCTTTATTAGGGTCCCCATTAGCACTAGCATGAGCATTGGCTATTCTTCCTGGGGTCCTCACACACTCAAAACATACATACAACTAAACTAAAACAGCTCATAATTTCATTCAAGTGAAAACTCAAATGCTATACTTTATAATACTGAGGTAATTTCTTAGCAACCTTTTGAACTGTAGATTTTTCCTGAATGATATGGACCGGTACAGAATTCCATCTCTCTCCAGTCTTGCACTAATGTACATTTTGATATTGACGGTCATTTTGTATATCTTGATTGTTGTGCTTCATGTCTGAATGTGTGCATATGTACAAAAGATTCTCAAAGGTTTTATCGTCAGATGCTCAGCAGCTACAGAGTAGAAATGGCAATGAGATTCTTCTGACCTGAGCTCTTCCAACAATGCAACGTATATAATAAAATACTAAATAAAAAGTCTATATACATGTCAATAGAATATGGGATATGTACAAGAACAGAATAGGAAATGAAATAATGCACATTAAGACAAAATTAAATACGGTTTATTGCATAACTATTTATATAAATAAGTAGATTGCGAAATGACAGGAATGTTTATCGGGGCGCTTTACAGAGCCTGAGTCTGTTGATTGTGTATATATATATATATATATATATATATATATATATATATATATGTATTTTGTACTCCTCGGGATTGTGGGAAACGGTATTTCGATCTCTCTGTCTGTTCACACTGGGTGTTACATGTCTTCCGAGTCACTTGCTTCAGAAGCGAGGCAAGAATCCTTCCTGGCATTCGGAAAA